TGTCCCATACAGGCAGGCAGGAAGGATCGAGGGGGCCACGCAGGATGTGCTGTCCTTTCTTTGCTTTGGCCGAGCCTCTTTGTGGCCCATCTCCTTGACATTTCTCATAAAGTTTGATTCCAGGTACCATCTGTGATGCCTGCAGTGTGATTTGACAATGCAGTCTTGCTCAGGGATGCAAGGAAGCCTTCAAAGTGGGAACAGAGCCCCATGGAAGAAGTCTGCAGCCCTACCTCCACTCACCCCCAATTCACCCCTTATTTCACATCATTAGGCCTTGAGACGTGGGGTGGAGGCACCGACGCTAAGTCTTGCCTGGTTATCGTCCAGGATGAGGGATGAGAATAGACACTTTTGGCCGACAGAGGTGGGGGAAGGCACGAAAATAACAGGCGACAAATAAGGGAGCTTGGGCCTGAGGTGTTCCCATGCTGAGACCGTCCACGATTCTCACACATTTGGTCTAATTGCTCAAGCAACTTAATAAGAAAAAAAATTTTTGTTATGATCCCGATTATTATAGAAAAATTCAAAATATATGGAAGAGAAGCTCACAAAGCAATCTTATACTCCTGGCAACCAGATAGAACTATTTTTATAACATGGTTTGATTACTGTGGGTTTTTTTTTTTTTTCAGTTTTAAAAAGTTGGTTGTGATCATACTATATCTTTAATTAAAAACTTTACCTCCCCTTTTTTAGATTACTTAGATAATATACGAATCCATTTTTGTTGTAAACAGAATGATGCAGATACAGAAAGATATAGGACGATTCCCCTTTATTCCTCCTCCCAGAGACAACCCCAGTTACCAGTGTGATGATGCTCATCCTTTTTTTTATTTCCTGTCAGTTGAGGTCTATTTTTTTCACTTATTGTAAAAAAAAACATTCCCCAAGCTATTTTGAGCTCTATACAAACATTGTCCAAGGGCTGTTTTATATCCCTCTGGGCGGAGGCACCCTTTTCTCATTGGCTACACATTTCTAATTGTTCTGGAACCCACCGAAGGAGGAAGCAAAGCCAGAAAGTGGTCAGATAGAAACCCATAGTAATTATACAAATAGATTTTACATGTCACAACAACTGGGGATGCAAACAAACAAACAAACAAAATCATTTTCCAAACGAGAACACTGATGCACATTTAGTCAAGGTGTTTTTTTTTTGTCTGTTTTGTTTTGTTTTGTTTTAATGCTGTTTCCTCCATAGTATAAAATTAGAAAACGTTCATCTATTTGTTTTCAAGTTTTGTTGCCTTGGGCAGGTCACCAGCACTCTAATTGTAATTAATTTTGTTCTCTCTCTGCCCTGTATTCTGATATGAGTGCCTTCGGGATAGACACGGTACATACTTATCTTTAGAGCCCTGTGCTTGTTGTCAGGCTCTAGCAGGTCCTGGGTAGGTATTTGTGGAAAGAAAGAGTAGGTGGAGGAAGCAACCCAGGTGTCCATGAGGGATGAATGGATATGCAAATGTGGTCCGCACCTACAATGGACGATAATTCAGCCTGAAAAAGGAAGGGCATTCTGGCACATGCCACAGCATGAAAGAACCCAGAGGACGTTATGCTAAGTGAAAGAAGCCAGTCACAAAAAGAAAATTACTGGAAGACTCCCCTTACTTGAGGTGCCTACGATACTCACCTTCGCTGAGACAGAAAGGAAAAAGACAGTGTCTGGGGCCTGGGAGGAGGGGTGGGGACAGAAGCTTTGGAAAATTCCAGGTTCTGCTCTCTTTCCACTGTCCCCATCCTAACCTGCTGTGTCTGGAGTCCAGATGTTGTATCTTTTCCAAAGCTCCCCAGGTGGCCGTCAAGTGTGGCCAGAACTGTGACCCACAGAACCAGGTGACATTCAACAGCCCTCGTGGTTCAGGAGGTCCCTGAGGAGGGGCCGGGAGTGCAGACCGAGCTCTGGGGCAGAGCCCCTGGGCTCACAGTCACCACCTCACAGTTCCCATCCCAAGCCGCACGTCCCGCAGAAGCATCACAACTAAGGCCAGATCTTTTGTTCTGGAAATTTCTCTCGTTCTTCCATCTCAGAGAGATGTCTTCCCTCCACACTTTGTCCACCTCAAGTCCTGCCGAGGCTGTTGAGGGCCGAGGCAGAAGCCTTTTCAGAGAGAGTTGGAGTCCGGAGCAGGAACTTCCTGTGAAAGCCGCTGCATGAAATGACTGGAATTAAAACCTGACTCCCTAAAGTGAAATAGCCACCAAACCCTTTTCTCTGAACCTCCCATGATGGTGCCCCATAAATTTTGACTGATAGCAGAGTACATAATGTAATAACTTTTTTTAAAAAAAAATATTTAACGTTTGAAGAAAGCCAGGTGGACAGTGGTTTTCTGGCACAGCTTTTGAAGTCAATCCTGTGCCAACCGGGGAAGGGAGGGGCATCCATGAAGAGAAACCTCTGGGGAGCCAGGCGCATGTCATGTGTTACCCCATTTTATCCTCACAAACCTGCCATGAGTGAAGTGGTATTACCTCCCTTATAGAGATGGGGAAACTGAGGCTGGAGGCGTTGAATAGCCTGCCTCATAAGGCGATACTATAGCAGCGTGTTGGGAGCCTGACCTCAGCCTCACAGACTCGGGTCCAGTCCTGCTTTACCACTTACAGATTGTGTCGCCCCATGCAAGTTGCTTAAATGCCTAGCCTTAAAGTTTCCCCCTCATGGGTAAAATGAGAAAATGGTGGCACCTACCTGCAGGGTGGCCCCTTCTTCCCTAGAATTCAAACCTCAACTTCCTATGTGCAATGGCCGTCAGGATGAAAGACTGTGTTTCTCATCTTGCCTTTGCAGCTAGGTGTGGCCATGTGACTACATTTTAGCAAATGAGAGAACAGCAAATAGTAAGAACATCCTCTACTGCCTGTCATTTAAAGACAGCCCTTTGCTGCTGCTATTCCTCCCTCCTCTTCCTTCTTCTTTCTCTTCATTTTTCTTTTCTCTACTGTTTGCTGCAGACGAGAATGTAGTCGCGATGGCTGGAACTGGAGCAGCCACATTGACATGTGGAATGTCACACCAGTCCCACATACTGGCTTCTCCGGATGGATGTATGAGCAGGAAGTGATTCTATCTTATTTAAGTCTCTACTATTTTAGGTCTTATTAACTCAAATCCTGATATACTTATTTATGGAAGCGTTATGAGGGTAAATGAGACATGAATGTGAAGCACATATTAAGCTCTCAATAACTGCTACCTGTCATTGTTGTTATAATTATTGTTATTATTACTTGGCCCACCTAGCTAGTGGGCGACTGGTCTGGAATTTTGTTCCATGGCTGCTTTATATCAAAAAGCAGCTTTTATATCAGCTTTTATATCAAAGCTGTTACATTTTCTAGGCTGATTCTTACTAAGGTGAGGGTGTGTGCCCATCTAAAACAGAGCAAGGAGAAACTCGTATTGCCTGTGGCCAAGGGGGGTGTCACTGTCCAGCCCAGGTTTGTGCCCTGGATCCCACCCTGAGTGCCCGTGTGTCTCACCGCCCCAGGTCTGGTGCATACTGACTATACATCTCCTTCAGAACACTGTTGGGATGAGCCACATTCCTAAGTTAGCCCCTGAGGCATGGGCCGCACCCACCTCTGCTGCCTGTGCGTGACACTCACAGCCAGGAAGGCCCGAACAAGGGGCACAAAACGAAGGAAGAAAGTATGATGCCAATATTGACGGAGCCCCTATTTTGTGCTGGGCAATGTTCCAAAGGATCTTAACATGTTCAGTCCCAGAACATCTGTGTCGTGATGCTTTTCAGATGAGGAAACTGAGGCAGAGAGAGGTTGAGTGACTTTCCCAAGGAAACAGAGCACAACTGGTAGAGCCACAGGTCAGACAGGCAGCCCAACTCAGGGCCTTCGTCCCTACCCTAAACAGAGGGGCTTTCCCCTGTTTCCTGTCCCCAAAAAGAGCAGGTGAGCAGGTGGCTTCTGTGGAAGGACCCGGGCCATGCTAGTGTTCTCTGATTCCTTGGCTTATGGGGGAAGCAGGTCTGAGCCAGGAAGGCAGAAGACCCTTTGGAAAGACCTATTTTGCTTATGCTCTGCAGGGGACAGGGGGACAGGCTAGGAAGGGAATGAAGAGGGGCCTCGTCTTCACATCTCCAGGTGCAGCTCTTGACCCGGCACTGTACCTAGGATCCCCGTCGGTTTCCGGCATACCGATCATCGTCCGCTCTTATTTTGTTACCTCATTTTCTTGTTTGTGTCTCGTCTGTCTCTTTAACTAGAGAGTTAGCTCCATGAGGGCACGGAGTGGATGCTCACTCGTTTAAACGTCGTGAAGTTTAGATGAGATGATACATATGAACTACTTGGCATTCAGGAAATTCTTCCTACATGAGATTTTTTTGGGGGGTAATTATGCTTCGAAAATAGGTTTGAAATCTAATTATCCTCCTTTTGTTTTATTTTTCATGTTTTATCACACAGGGTCAAAGATTGCCAAAAGATAGTGGGGGCGTTCATGGGTGCAGTGCTTTCGAAGGACCCTTGCGGCTTCACAGAAGAAGACTATCAACCTCTGATCAAGCTGACAAATCAAACTGTACCTTGCGACAAGGTAACGGGGTCGAGTCACTGATTTTAAAACGGAGGCTGAAAGCCAGAGGGAAGAGGTCGCAGGGCCAGATGTTAACCAGGATGAGGGAAGAGGAAAACTCTGGACTTTAGGATGGAGGCGTGTGTTGGTGGAGATGGAGTCTGTGGGGCTGCTGGGGAGACCAGGAAGTCGTTAGGACTTAGGACATCTGGGGAGAGAGAAGAGAGAGATGGGGATACGGAAAGAGGAAAGGACACGTGGTCAAAAATCAGGCGAAACAAGCCTAACGTAAAACCCAGTCCAAGCCAATCAAAAATGCCCGAACCTCACATCATCGCAGAAGAGCCCTCTAACTGCTGCCGCTGATGGTGACAACAACTACAACGGCAACAACAATTCGCATTCGCAGAGTGCCTTTGTCTGCCTACAAGGGGCTCTCTTCACCTTATCTATTAGGTGTTCTCCGCCATCCTGTGGAATAGGCAGGCTGGTGTCAGAATCTCCATTTCCCAATTGAGAAAGCTGGGGTGAGGCGAGTTCAGGTGGCCCGTGATTGCTCAAGTCTTGAAAGTGACCGGTTGAAATGTTAATGGCACAAGATGTGGAACCTGAGAAATCTGGGTTTTCATACATTGATGGTACTGGGAGAAGCCTGTAATGGAGTACATCTTCTCTAAAGTCAGCATCTAAGGTGAAGATTCCCTGTGCCTCCAATCACCTTCGTGCAGCCCTTTAAGCCATGTTCCAGCCTCTCGTCCCGCCCGTGAGAGCTAGGGTTATTTTGAGCTCCTTCTTGGTGCACCAAGCACAAGGCCCTACACAGAAGGACCGCTTGGTAAATTAACACCAAGGTGACACTTGTTGAATGAGGGCCTATGTCCCTGCCAGGGGACTAAGCACTATATTTGCATTGTCTCATTTGATCTCCGTAGCATCGGAGGAGTTCCTCACAGTTATTCTTGTTACCATTTTACAGATGGGGAAAGTGAGGCTCAGTGATGCTTTGGCTGTCCTAAGTCAGTGCCTAATAAGTAGTGATGCTGGGCTTCGTAAAACAGGGTGACTCTAGGCCCGGGCTGCCAACCACACCCTCTGTCACCTCCGCTGCAGAATTAATAGACCCGTGGGGCAGAAGAATGTTCTGAAACTTGACTTTTTGACCTTTACAAGAGACCCTAGAAAAACTCACTGTATTTGTTCTTTTCTTTTTCTTTTTTTCCTATTTTTACTTTTGTGGGGCTAGGGGGAGATTTGGGAAAGGAAGTTAAGGAGCTCTTTAAGAATCAAAGAAACACTTCTCCCCCAAAATAGCACATAGACGAAATTATTTTGCAGATAGCTTTCAGAATCTCGTAACTTCCTAATGCGTTCTCCAGACGTGGTCCGACCTACGTTTAGTGTAAGATTCTAATCAGTGGCTTTCAGACTTTTTTTTTTACGACCCAGAATAATAAGCTCATTTTAGTTCATGCTTATAACATTTGGATACCACACACACACACACGCACGCACGCACACACATGCACACGCACGCACGCACGCACATGCACGCACGCATGTGCATCCTCTCTCACTGACACACAGAAAGCAGCGAGGCATTCAGCACACTGACTATGTGTGATTCACTCTAATATTTTCCATGTTTGTCTTTCATTTAAGAATATGTGGATTTTTGTTGTTGTTGTTGTTGTTGTTGTTTTCACTTAATAGGTTGTGTTTACTCTTCCTTAGACTCTCTTTTGGAGCAAGTCCAGGGAGCTGGCGCATCAGTACACCAAGGTCCAGCAGGAGATGTTTACCCTGGAGGACACGCTGCTGGGTTACATGGCTGACGGTCTCAAGTGGTGTGGAGACGCAGGCTCCTCCGGTGAGGGTCTGGGCTGTTTGGGACCGTCCAGGGGTGTGTGGGGTGCAGGAGCCCTGAGCTCTGCTAAGAAACAGGTCCGTGTAGAAGGAGGAGCCCCAGGTGCCACGTGTCGCTGAGTTGTCCCACCAACAACTCAGGCTGATGTAAAATAGCATTCTTTAGATCAACTCACGTTTCCCTGCTTTGTTTTCTAAGACATTACTTCCACCTGAGCCCAGCACGCTAGCTCACCCTCCTTCTTGCCCAGACTGCTGTAAAGGTCTTGCTGATCACTCCTCCCCTCTTTAGATCAGCAGCCCTCTGGCCAGCACGTTGGGATCCTTTCTGCCTCGAACCTAAAAGCCAAATAGCTCTCTCGTGCCTCTAGGACAAAGTCTAAATTCCTTAGCACGGCCTGGCCTCTGTCCTTCATATGCTCATCCTCCATCACTCCTTCCTCATGGCTTCTGCTCTAGTGGGACTAGTCTAAACTCAGGAAGCTGTTTCACAGCTCTGTGCGTTTGCACTTGGTCTCTCTGCATGGAGCACCTTCCTTCTGTCTGACGACTCCTATTCACCCTTCAAAATCAAGTTCAACATCAACCTTTCATAATGGCGCTGCACGCCAGCCCCCTGCCAAAGTTGATCTTTCTGTGATTTACTTAATTATGTTTGGTTATGTGGTCTCTGAAGGTAGGGCTTCTAATTTATCTCTTTACCTAACACTCAAATGTTTGCGCAGTCAAATGCAATGGATAAAGGAAATGTGGCATAAACACGCACGCATACACATGTATACACGCAGAAGGATATTACTCAGCCTTGAAAAAGGAAACCCTGTCATTTTCAACGATGCCAATGAATCTCAAGGGCATTATGCTAAGTAAAATAAGCTAGACAGGGAAAGACAGTCACCGCATGATGTCACTTATATGTGGAATCTAAAAAAAAAATGAACTCATAGAAACTGTAGAAAAGGCACTTATATGTGGAATCTAAAAAAAAAAAATGAACTCATAGAAACTGTAGAAAAGAGGTTGCCAGGGGTGGAGTAAATAGGGAGAGGTAGGTAAAGGGCACAAATTTCAGTTATAGCATGAATCTAATACAACATGGTGACTGTAGCTGATAACACGGTATTGTGTAATTGAAATGTGTTGAGAGAACCTGTATGTTCTCTCACAGAAGCACACACACACGAAGATAAATATGTGAGGTGATGGGTGTGTTAATTAACTCCACGTAGGAGAATCTTCTCGCCATGTATATATGCATATCGAATCATCGCATTGAGCACTTTAAACATCTTACGATCTTACTTGTTAATTGTACGTCAGTTTAATTGCAAAAATATTCGCGCATGAAGGCGGATATCCTTGAAAGAAATGACACCGAAAGTATGTATTCTGTTGTCTCTCATGAATGCCTGAGTCTGCTTTGATGGAGAGAGCGTAGAAAGACTCAGAGCCGATGGGTGTGAGGACTGAGGGAGGACGTGAGGAAAGCCGTCAGCAGAAGAGAGCTGGCAGGAAGCAGAGGGGTGGTTGGGGACAGTGGTCCCAGAGGACCCAGGTTTATCTCCGATTTTTCCTGGACGCGGGGATAATGACAGCGGCTCGTCTCTGTCAGATGAGCTTTTGCTGCAGTTTCCCAGAATGATGACTCAGAGCTGGTCACTGTGTTCCTGTCTGGGCTTTGGAGGGTAAGGTAAGGACCTGGATGAGGTTCAGGGGGCACTTAGTTAAATTAGGTCGAGATGTGTCCCTTCTCCACCCTCCGACTTGGCAGCGGTGCCATCGGAAAATGGCTCCGTGGAGATGGAACAACCAGGGAAGAACAGAGCTTAATTGGACCCTTTGTTTTCCACTTTGATGATTGTCTATAAACTATGTCTTTTAGAATTGAACTATCAGTCTTGCCCAGATTGGAGGGGAGACTGCGCCAATAACACCATGTCCGTCTTCTGGGACACCGTGTCTAAATGGGTGAGCACCACACGTGACATTCCAGAACTTCGGAGATCAGAGAACTTAAGAGGTCATCCAGTCAGCGGTCGGCTTTAATTCTCTTTGGATCACAGATCCATTTAGGAGCAAGAGTTTAGTCATCTTTCCTGAGAAAAGTAGTTCTAAGCACATGCCAAGAAGATTTTTATGTATAATTTTAGGACATTCATGGAGGGTCCGTGGGCTTTGGCTGCTGGAAATCTCTGGCTTGGTCGAATCCTCGGATCCAGGTATTGACCAGTCTGATTCCTGGAATGGTCTTAATAATCTGCATTTACAGACCACTTCCTGTGTGCTAGGCATGGTCTTCAGGTTTTCATACGGGTTAAAACCTTCGTCCTTACAAGAACCCTATGAAGTAAGTACCATGAGTGTCACACCCATTTTACAGATGACAAAATCGAGGCACAGGTAAATAAGCATTCTGCTAAATGTACACAGTAAGTAAGTGGCAGATCTGGGAGTTTGACCTCAGTTGTCTGATTCCAGGTCCAGAATCCAGGCTGGGAAATACTCTCCTTCCCCACTCTGTCCACCAAGCTCCTTCTCTCTGTTATTTCTGACTTGACTCTAAGCTGCCTTTGTGCATATTTACGTTTCTAGTAAGTTGCTTCTTTGTAAGTGGACATGGAAAAAAGAGAAAGAAAAGAAGGAAGAAAGAAATGAAGGAAAGGAAAAGAGGGAGAAAGTAAAACTAGAGTACTTGTGGTTCTCCAAAATTACACTTCGACATCTGAGGAGCTGGATCCAGTGGACAGTCACATTTAAGTTCATATTTATGACAAGTCCTGGGCCAGATTCCTTACCTACATCATCCCCCTTTAGTCTTCACAGTGGGCCTTGTGAGACAGTACAAATCCTCAGGTTCCAGGTGAGGAAACAAAGACTGAGAGGTTAGGTGACTCATTCAAGGGCAGTGGGCTGGTAGGGAGGGAGACCACAACCCACTTTAAGGAGATTCAGGTAAACCGTTGAAGAGACAAGACAATAGCCTGGGATTGGAAGTAAGGGGACTGTTTAAACGTAGACAGATTCTCTAAGCGTCCCTCTTGACCTTCAGATTCTTCCTCTGCCAAATGGGGAGAAACGAGGCCTGCCCCGCAGGGTTACTGCAGCGTTTAAACAAGACGCCACTCTCCCATCAACTAACTCAGAAAGCAACCCTTTCACACACTGTCGACGAGCTACTCTGGGCTTTGAAAAATCAGAGGCACTATATAGTTAGTTATCGTCGTTTTTTGTTTGTCTGCGTTTTCTGAAAAAAAGTTTCTATTTTGCCTTATCACTCTATGATATGTTCTGGGCAGCGCTGTTGCTAAAACCTTTTAAAGCCACGTCACGTTTTATATGTTCCTCATACCGTCCTTGCCGATAGGAGTGCGTGTGATCGAAGGCGCTCTGCCTTGTGAGCTACGCTGGGACTGACAGTGGCCAAACTCTCATGGGTGTATGTATGTAGACAGTCTTCTTTAATCAGCCTACGTTCTTTCTTTTTCTGACAATAGAGACAGTGTTTGAGTCTCTATCTCACTTGCTCGCTTCCAAGTGAGGTGAGCATTGGGCAAGTTGACCCAATACTTACTTTGTGGGGGCTCTTAAGCATTATATAATATCGCCAGGTCAGTGCCTGTCACCCTGTAAGCATGCCATTGAGTTAGCACTTGTGATCGGTAATAATTGGGCCTCTGCCTTCTGCTCATCACCCCCAGTAGAAAGACAGAAGCTGCACTGGATTCTCACAGTTCCGTTTCAGATTGTTCAGTGGTGTTTTATCACCTACAGACTAAAGGCCAGATTTCTTGGCAAAGCATTCGTGGCCCTCCATGAACTAATCTATCTTAAGTCCAGAAGCCACCGAAGTTTTCCCCAAAACACCACTGTTCTCTCAAGACCCTTGGCCTTTCTGTTCGTAGCGGCCTCAGCCTTTACCAGGTGAAATCCTATTCATCTTTCAAGACTAAGCTTTTTATTGCCTGGGCTCAATGCCTTTTCTATTTCTTTCCGAATCTCCATCACCAAGTCCTTGGACTTCTTACTTCTTCTTGCCCTCCCCCACTCCTTCCACAGATTTTCACTGAGCACCCACTCTGTGCCATGCACTAGCTTTGAGCCCCCAGGGCTGAGTGACAAGCAGGACAGCCAGGCTCACAGCTCTCAAAGAGCTTTCGGTATCAACACTAAATCCACATTAAGCTCATCATCACTGTATGAGATAGCTGGATAAAGTGAGAAGGGGTCTGGAGGTGGTCCCAGTGGATGGACCTTCTGGAGGAAACAGATAGATGGCTTCTTTTGTTCACTATGTTCTCCCCACTTTCTAGCAAAGAGTTCAGCTGAATGTTTGTTACACGAGGAAGTAGAACTCTGCGCAATAATATCCATCCATCCATCCAACCATCCATCCATCCATCCATCCCTCCCCCATTTCTCTTTGTGTCTGTGCAAGTCTTGGTGTCACCTTCTCTCCCAGTTTCCCCTTTCTTGGTGTCCCCATGTCCCTTCCCCTGAGTCATCTACCCTGCTCCCTAAATGAAATGTGCTGTGTCTACAATGCGTGGCACCAAGGAAGCCCTTTCATCTTCCCCGCCAGAAGCGTTTCTCTTATGCGTCTGGACTTCTGACTTCTGAGCCACCACGGTAGCAGCAATGATGTTGAAGGTCATTGTTCAAACACAGGTTGTGGCAACTGCTTCCAGAACTCCCATGTGAAGCATAATCCCTCCAGGAGTTTGGGATGAAAATTATATAGAACCTGGCATGACCGAGCTAGAACCATACAGGCTATTTCTCCCTTAACCAGCTAATGCTCAGAGCTGTTTGGGGTGGAGCTGCTGGGGTGTGGCAATTAAGTTTGCATGCGGAGGAATTGTGGGCTTCTTTTTTTTTTTTTTTTAAGTTTGCAGAAAATGCCTGCGGTGTGGTCCAGGTGCTGCTCAATGGGTCCTTCAGCAACGCCTTTAATAAAAACAGGTACTTATTTCTTTGCATTCTATTTGCAAGTGTTAGCGTGACCTTCTAGGCGATATTTCATCTATCGAAAAATATACTTCTCATGTTTAAAGTCGGTACTGAAGCTTTGGGCTAAAAACGGTAACATTTTTGTATTTCATGGACAGATTTTTTTTTTCCTAAGTCAGTGCTTTTATCTGGTTTCTCTGTGGCGTAGAAACCCGGAAAGGTGCTGACGGCCCCATGCGGTCTCCAGCAGCCACTCTTGACTTTCTGAGGCTCTGTCATTACGCTCCATCCCGCCCATTTCCTGCCATGTTCACGCTGTTCCCCCACATGGCCGGAGCCCTCCTCCTTCTGCCTACCTGCACCCTCACCATCACGGAGATCTGTCCTGACTCCTCTGTCCTCCGTAAATGAGTCCCCGTTCAGCAGTAAAACTACTACTGGGAGCATCGGGAGCTGTGCCGTGCTCTTGACCTTCATCACCTCTTTGCAAGCATCGGCAGCAATTTAGTGTCGAGCTTAAACGTGGCGAATGGGAGGTCATGACATATGACGTGTGTGACCTTAGGCAGGACACCTGGCCTCTTGGAGCCCCTGTAGGCTGTGCCTGCAGAGGTGATGGTGACGTGAAGGTGAACTGAGATAATGCATGAAAGATGCCGAGCGCTGCGCCTGACGGGGAACGTGCTCGATGGCTCTCAGCTGTGATCTCTCATTTAATGCACAGCACCGGATCCGGCCACATCGATGCCTCCCGTCCCTCACAGTTGCCTTCCATACTCACAGTGTTTACAGCGCGGATTATCTTTTCGGTTCTTTGTTCTCCAATCTTTCCCTGGACAAGGCCGGATGGAGAGGAGGGAGCATATATTCATGTGCCCTACGTGCCCCAAATTAAATTTCCTCTCTCCTGTTTCAGTGTTTAATTCTACGAAGCCTTTGTCCTTTTGTCTTCTTCTGATCTCAACCTTATGGGCTTCGGAGTGAAAGTAGTAACATGCCAGGGTTTTCTAATCTGATATTAGGGATCTAATCCCTTGCAATAGGAACGGCAGCTGTCGGAGATACTGGGGAAGAATTCAGGACTGGGGTGGTGTCATTATGTTGGTCTAAGGCCCACTCTTGCAATAGCAGGTACTTAAAGAATTAATGTCAATCTAAGGAACACAAAGAACAGACTAATCAAAAACAGATTCACAAATATAGTGGACAATTTGGTGATGGACAGAGAGAAGGGGGGTTGGAGGACAGGGAGAATGGGGTGAAGAGTTAAAGAAGTACAAATTAGTAGTTGATAGATGGTCATGGGGAAGGGGAGCATGGCTGAGGGAATGCAGTCAGCATTGATATGATGGCTAGGTGGAGGGCCGGGGGAGGGAGGGATCATTTTATGAACTATATAGATGTCTAACCAATGTACTGTATACTTGAAACTAATTAAAATTAATTAATTTAAAAAAGAATGAACGTCAATGTACAGATCGAGACTCTTGTTTTGATGCTCTTATTCATCTTGGCTCATGCCGCAAGGGTAAACTTGGCTGTTTTGAATGCAAATCATGGGTCAGTTTAAAAGGGTGGGTTCCGACTAATGGCACCCTACCTGCTAGCTTCTCACAGGGGCTCTGGGTGTCCCAACGATTGCATTTGGGGTTCATAATATTCTTCGTCTCTTCTACCTTAGCACCTTTGGACGTGTGGAAATCTATAATTTGCTTCCAGATAAGGTTTCTACACTACAAACCTGGGTGATGCATAACATTGAAGACGTTCACAGGTATGTGTCGCTGCTTTGTACCCATGTAGTCTCAGGGCTATTTTAGGAATCCGTCCACAAAATAATCCGCAGGCACAAGACTGCGCTGAGGGAAGACTGGCTTGGGTGGTGAGTGGGACCTCACTCTACATTCAGTGCATCCCAATGGAATCTCAATTTTATCTCCACGATGAGCATGTCCCCAGCTTACAGCTTCGGCATCCCTGCTGACCCGTGAACTCTCAGAGGTGATCTGTGCTTCACCTCTTTACCTCAGGGCCTTGCGCAAGGCCTGCTACCTAAGAGAAACTCAGGGCCTCAGGAAATCCTTGCGAGATCTTGTTATTTTAACACTTTCTTCTTTCTTCCCCAGTGACTCATGCTCAGCTTCCTCCATAAATGATCTGAAATCGATTTTAAGCAACAGGAATATTAACTTTACCTGCCAGAGTAACTACAGGTAATAGATTTGTTCTTGAAAAAGAAACAGCCATCCTGCCCTGTGCTGGCATTTTCCCTAGGGCCTGGATGCTGATCTGGGGTGGTGACCTATGGTGATCTCTGTTCCTCCCCTTAGCCTAACTTAGAGGTGTTCCCAGTCTTCTGCAGAAAATCTGGGGGTCCCTCATCCTAAGTTGCTGCTTCTGCTGTTTCTTGATCACCAAACTGACACTTAGAGCCCATATCTGTGCCATGTTAGAGCCAAATATTCATTTTCATCTGCCCATAATATCATCAAACGTCCCTTCTCAATATTCCTTTTTATGGCTTTACACGTGAAGTGAAACTAAACTGGGCCCCGCTTTAAGTCATTCACTCCTGGACTTGACCTTCCTTCATGTTGTCACCACCGCAGAAGAGGAACTTGTGTGGATGCTAAGTGGTCCACACATACTTGGCTTGCTAACAAAGGGTCTTCTTTCATTGGTGAATTTAACCATAGGTGTAATGTATGGTTAAATCTCTTTTTGCTTTCTTGTCATAGGCCTATCAAGTTTCTTCAGTGTGTGAAAAATCCTGAGCATTCATCTTGCAATTCTCTAATATGAACCAATCAGCATGGTGGTTTTTGAACTCTGAGCCCTTCTCATACAGATTGGACCGCTGTGCATGACTCAGGAGACATACCAGTGGGAAGCCGAGGATTTGACTGATTCTCTGTCACCATGTCAATGCCAAAAATGGAAGTTTTTCTCCTAAAGTCTTAAAATAACACGTTATTGGCATAGTTTTTATTTTGATCTCCTAGTAGTCAAGAAAAAATTATTATGTAAAATGAAAATTTTATATTATTTCATTTTAATTTTCATATGGTGTTTTTATGTTGGTAACATACTTTCTGTTGAAGAAGGATCACACCAAACCTCTCTTATTGGAACAGGCAAGTAAAGAAAATGGCAGATGCCCAAGCTTTTCAGAAAACGTCACATTTTCAAATGAATAACCTGACCTCAGGATGTAATTTTGTACCCTTCCTATAGGTAAACTGTAATGCCATGGTTATGGGTCATGTTGGGAAAAGTATTCTGTAGATATAAGCTACTCAGGTACTTGGTGCTTTACCTCTAAACCTTCTAACAGTTCTGTGAGGTTGATATCAGTATCTCCCATTTGTTAGATGAGAAAGTGGAAGTTTAGAGGCGTTTCATAATTCGCCTAAAGTCATACATTTAGTTCAAGGTAGAGGCTCAATTTGAATTCGGCTCTGTCTGACTCTTTCTAGGCCTGTAATGCCAAACGAACAGTGCCTTATGTTCTCTTCCAATAAATGCATGTTGGATTTAGTTGAATACAGTAGAATCTGGAATGTGATTTTTCTGGATGGCTTCGAAGCAGACACAATTTTTTCTCCTCTTCCCCTTCCTCTTGCTTCTCGTGTTCGGTGTCTTACATACGTAGTGGGCAGTTACAATATGTGTCTGTTCCTGATACTGGCAGTTCAGTTGGTTCATTTTCTCCTTTTTTCCTTGGGGATTATTATTTCTGATACTCTTTCAAGGAACCATCTTTTAGCTTTGTTGATTTTCTCTAATTGCTTTTTGTTCTCTTTATTATTAGAGATATAGAAATTCCTTATAATTTCTTTGGATTTTTAAATTCATCTTCTTGAACTGGAAACTTAGATCATTGATTTTTCAACCCATTTCCTTTTCTTATATTTAGTACTGTCAATTTTCTTCTGAGTGCTTCTTTAGCTGTGGCTCTTAAGTTTTGATATGTCTCTTTTCATTATCATTCAGTGAAAAATATTTTCTAAAATTGTTTAGAAATGTGTTGCTTAATTTTCAAACATCTGGTGATTTTCTAGGTTTTTTTTTTTTAATATAAATGCATTGAATGAAAAATTAATACATTAATTTGAGACTCCTCGAGGGAACCTACAGGGTTTGTTGAAAACAGCATATATTGTGGAGTCAGGCAGTTATGGGTTCATATTTTGGCATCACTGTGATCTCACATGAAATATCTGACCTCCCTGAACTTCAGTTTTCTCGCCACTCACATAAGCATTATAAACTCACCCCCACAAAAGTGTGGTTAGAACTAAAGAAGGTGACAGAAATTGACGAGGCATAGCGCCTTAGATGAAAACAAGTATTTAACTAGTGTTGGCTCCTTTCTGCCTGCCACCGGTTGGTGACCCCGTGTCCTTCAGGAGCCCTTTCAGCCGCAGCCACTGCAGTCAGTTTGTGAGTTCTTCACTAGCTCTTTCTCCACTCAGGCTCATCATCACAAGAATTAGTCTTGGCTAGACATGAGGCCAGGTGCGTGGGATCAGTTCTGATTAAGAGTCAGACTTGTGCCACGTTTTAATGAGCTCCATCTGCAGAATGTCTTCAGCAATAGGTCCCTGCTAATCTGCTGAGTGACCTGGCTGTTCTCCACTCAGGACAATTTCTGCCGATTGTCAGGCTTGCGTGCTGATTTCTGGACTCTCTAAATGTACCTTCCTTGTTCATCAGGATACCCCCGGAAGTGGCTGCCTGTGTCAGAAAAATTTCATTCTTTATATTACCTTCCAATTTGCAAGAGGCTTCTCCCAAGAAGACTCATTTGAGTGTTCAAGTTCAAAGCCAGTGGAGACTAAGAGGGGGCTGGTCCCACGGTTTTCACACTGTGCCACAGAGGACTCTGGGAGCCCTGGAGGTGGTTGGGGGCTGGGGTGCTCTTTTCTCCTTGCGCCACCTCTGTATATTACCATGCCACCCCACCCTTGCGTCCTCTCCCTCTGCTGTTCCAACTCGGGTATCTCTGCCATTAGCCACTCGGCCATCTTTAGCCTGAAGGCCTTTCTGGCCTACGTGTGTAAATAGATCCTCCATATCCCTCTTCATATAAGTGACTCTACTGAATTACTGATCACTCATCGACCTCATCCTTCACTCATTGACCTGCTACCCCTGTCTCCCCACTGCATTCCTGTGTGCTCTAGAGACGCTTCTTACCATCCCAACTCGCATCCGCCATCACACTTACCCAGAGACTGCGGGAGTGACCCAGGGCACTGTCTCCCTTTTCTAACTCCTGAAAGCTCACCGTTTTCCTTCTGTGATGGTTCTTATAATATTTACATCACGGTTTCAAGTATAGTTCTGAAATTTGAGGCTGAATACTTGAAAAGATGTATATATATATATGTATATATATACACACATACATATACATATATATATATATATATGCGCGCGCACACACACACTTGCATGATGCAAAACCATGTCTCTCAATAGACAGCGATTCTGTATCCGATGGGTCTTTCTTGAGCCCTAAGTCATTCTTTGTGTTGACCTGTTTAGTGCTGTTTCTGTGTCTTTTATCTTCTATGTACCTGGCAAACAAAGCCAGGTATATATAAAATATTTTGGCAAAACACATTCTTTCTTTGGCTTGACAGCTTTCTATGCCTTTAGCTCTTGTTGGGAACGAGCTCAACCCACATCTGCATACTCCCTGCTGCAGCAGATGTAGCAGGGGCAGCGCTGACCTCCTGGCATCCCGTTTCTCCTTAAAACAATTCCTAAGTCTGTGATTTGAGTGTCAGGTAGAATCCATGCTGTACAGAGGGACTCTGTTTTTGTGGCTTTTTGAAAAGGCAAGTAATCATATGAACTGGATAAATGTTATATATGGCAAATGAAAATTGTATAAAGTAGAATGTTAAAGTAAACACAGAGTGTGTTGTAACTATAAAAGTCATTTTATGAATGTAGTGTTAACCCAGACATTTTCTACAGTTTTTTAAAATAAAGCAATTAACTATTTGTACTATTGAGTTATTTAAATCTATATAAATCTATCTATCTATCTATCTATCTATCTATCTATCTATCTATCTATCTATCTATATTTTAAAATGATCTACAGGGACTCAATGCTGGGTGTCTCCCTAAGAGGTAGTGGTTAGCTGGTTCTCGCACTCACGAAGCACAGAAAGCTTTGAACTGACCCTTGTCCTTGAACTTGAATCACATCAGTGCACATTGCCATTCTCGTCCTCTGGTTGAAATACAAGCGGCACGAGGTCCTGAAAACCATGGAATTAAGAGACAGGTGACCCACTGGGCAAGTTCATTAACATCTGTGGATAACCAGTTTGGAATATATTTAGAATAGACATAGTGAATCATATAAACAATAAAAGAATAATAAAAAGGACTTTGTGGAGTCATTTTTTGGAAAAAAACAGTTGCCTCTGCAAATATCCCATGATATCACTTATATGTGGAATCTAAATAAGTCAAACTCATAGTAATAGAGTAGACTGGTGGTTATCAGGGCTTTGGGGAGTGTGGGAGAGATGCTGGCTAAAGATGCTGGAGAGACAATGGGTCATTGTCCTGGGTATGTGTTGCAGGTGGGGGAGGCGGCCCCCAAAGAGCCCAAACTTACAGTCTGTCGAAGACCCCCAAATCCTCACTCACTCCTCTTCATCCTTTGAGTCATCAAAGAAGGAATAGTGCTGTTTGCTTTTTAGGAAGCTCAGTTTTGAGAATCAGACAATGACACACCTTTGTTCTCTATTAAGAAAACTTACCCTGAACCTCTCAAGAGCCTTGATGACACAGTGAAATGTGTGATTCTTAATAAGGTACATAAATGCGCAATAACATTTAAAAGCTTGATGCAAAACGTGTCATGCAGAGAACAGAAAACCACCGTACATTGTACCAGGTACTTCACATATCGTGTCAGCCGATGAGCTCAGCTGCAACAACTCAACTCTGGATAGAAATAAATTTTCTAGACAATATCAGGAGCTTATAGGTTCTCCCAAAGGGCAAGAAAAGTTCGAAAGCTTCTTAGTCAAGAGCCAACACCCACAATTCCACAGTTGGACAGGCAGAGAAGTCGTTCTTGCCCTGAGGACACTTGGCCATTACTTTGTAAGTGCGAGACACGGCCACTGATGTTTCTGGGAACAGAAGTAATCAAAGCGGATGGCATACGGTGCATGCTGCAGGTTCACAGTCACACAGATGCTTCTGATATATAGAGCCCAGTAGATGTAGAGCACTTAGAACAGAGCTCGGTTTTTCTACCTGTAAAATGGGGGTGATAACAGTGCTTACCTCTTTTGGGTTGTTTTGAGCATTAAGCAAATGATAGATGTCTAATTCTTAGCATAGTGCTTGACACATAGCATAGTGCTTGACACATAGTAAGAGCTCTGTTGAGGTTAGTTTTTAAAGTTCAAACAAATGTTAGAACCTGTTTTTATTGTGGAGGAGATTCCTTGATAAGCCTACTTGGTTTAGAAGCTGAGACCCAGGGATGATGGAAGAGTGTCGAGAATGGCCCTATTGTCAACCAGCAGGGTCAGCCACACTCTCCACACAAGCTGTGATTCATCCTGGGTGCTGAGTACTTGCCCGCCTGAGAGGGCTGGGCCAGGCATCCTCCTAAGACCTTTCAGTCAGAGCTGGCTCCCACCTCAAGCTGGATGTTGACAAATGGTATCCATGGAAGCCCCACCCCCCACCAAATCTAAGGATTTAATTTGTAACTGTCATTCTTCAGCCCACCATGAGTTCAAAAACCGGCATTGCCAATCCGAGCCCCTGCTCTCTGGACAGGGCCCACCGCCTTGTCAGTCAAAGTGTGCAAGTCTCCTCAGTAGAATGAAATCAGAAGACGGAACAGCTGGAAGAACAAGTCCTTTCCCTTGTCATCGGCGAACTGGAAGAACTTTGGAGATGGGCAAGACCGAGAAGAAATGGGGTGGCTAACCCGAGCCTTCAGCTTGAGAACAAATCTCCCTTTGTCAAAGCTACTTATTCATCAGTCAGTTTCCCCAGAGTTGCCTCCCCAAAGGAGTAGAATAATCAGATCCAAGCTGACTCCTGAAGGGAAGAGAGGCCCCTTGGGGAGCCACGAGGTCTCAGATCACTCTTAGCTGCTCCAAGTTAACGAGTTCGTCTTGCCCTGGTCCGTAGAAGTCACGAGCAACTCCGTGTGCAGCTCGTTTGGACCGGTGAGGCGGGAGGAAGGAAGCACAGTGTCACCTATGACCATTAAGATGTCAAACACTTTCACGAAGATAACCAACAAAATAGACATTTCTGTAATGATTTATTACAGAATCATGAAAGGATCGGGAACATTATGGCTGCAGAGCAGTGACTCAGCTCCTCCATGCTTCCCTTTGCTGAATGATGATGAAACTCCAGTAGCAGCCTTAGACCCAAAAAGTATCTGTTCTCGGAGTTCCTGTCTCCCTGACATCCTGCTGGATTCTTGCCTCTGTATCTCAATTCTCTCCTCCTGACTCAGCTTTGCTGGTCGCTTCAGCCTCGCTATAAAGTAATAAATTTATTGATTATTCATTCACTCACCAGTATTAGTCGATACCTTTCTTTGACAGAGTCCAGATTTGGGTTGAAGAGAAAGGGCAATGTGTAGTTTTAAAAATACATAATAGAAATATATTGTATCTGAATAAATTAGGTATGAAAGAAAAACAGTTGGTAGAATTAGGTGAGAAGGTGCATAAATGGCAGTGTTTGAAAATGTAGATTAACAGGGGGCTTTCTTCTTGACTTAATTTAACTCAAATAAGACATTAAATTGATGAGATATCGCCAAATTGGGCATTTTCATGTATGTTTTGAATCAGAAACTTGAATGCAAATATAACACTTCAGAGCCAGGTAAAGACCGTTTCCCACATCCATTCTATTCAGAATTAGAGGAAGTAAAAGTCACAGAGGGCACGAAATTTAAGGAGACACCACTGTCAGGGCTCTGCAGACAGAAGAGGTGTCTCATTCACCCCGCACCATAGTCCTGTCCCTTGTCCCTGCCATTCAATGTGTAGGTTATCAATTTTTTAAGTAGTGAATTTTTTGTTTATTTTTTAAGAGACAATCTTTAAGGGTTTAGTATTGAAGAAGTTAAAATGTGTAAATGTGTTAGAATATACTGATTAATATTTACAGGAACCATAGAAGAAGGATCACCAGAGAGATCTGAGCAAATGGAAAATTTAGTTAATACTATTGAAACGGCACTAAAATAATTGCAGGGAACATGGTTTGTACGATACGATAAAACCTCTTAGATAACATCAGATAAGAAAATTGATTGCTTACTACTTTTTTAAGTGGTATAATAATTAACAATACTTGTTTTTTTATGAATTCATAAATATGTGAAAACTAATATAGCAATTACTAAAATGTCTTCTCTTTAAATATTTGTTATAGAGGTGTTTTGCTTTGTTTTTCTAGAGGTTTTTTCATTCATAAGTTAAATAACTCCTTCGAAGAGAACTGACAGCTAACTGGCTCAGAGCAAAAAAGTTCAGAATGCAATTGCTTTTTTTAAAATACAAAATAATTGACATTCTCAGAAGTAAAGCAAAAAGCTCTACTATGCAGATGGCCACGGGACTGGAACATTCGACAATTTTACTGGTGATGTCAACGGGGCTCCAGATGTTCGCAAACTCCACTACTCAACTGAAACTCTCATTTTAGGCTTTGTATTTTGATTTTTCAGTTTTCTAATGACACAAACATAATTTGAATCCTTGATGTATTAATGAGTCAAGGACGATTCTCCCATATAATGAATTTCAAATCTAACACGGGCTGGTCTACATTCGATGGTTCGAGAGGTCGCTTTCACCAGCAAACTTGTGGTGCTCATCATTTTTGCCGCTTGACCAAAAAAAACCAAAATTTTCATTGTTTTGCCGATGCCAATTCATCTTTAGCGATCAAGACATTCTTTCCAGTTAAAGTTGCAAAATCATCTCCATAAATTACTTTTATGGTCCCAGTTGATTGGTTATTACAGTAGATCTTCGGTCTGATCAAACCTGCAGCCGTTGGATGAATTTGTCACTGTTACTGTTCGGTGCTTTGCTATAATCCAGCAAATCAACAGAAGTTTTATAGACTCCTGGAGCACACAGACAGCTACCATCTCCTTCACAGAATTTTAATAATAAACCGTTTTGTCCCGTTCACGATTAGTCGACGAGGGATAAACACCTTTTCTAAACTCTCGGTTAATGATCAGACACGCAAAATAAATCTAGGTCATTATCTGGTTCAACATCACCGATCGTCACCCAGGACCGTGGGCCGCCATAGAACTGTCTGAGGAGGAGCAAAAAGGATGGCTTTTAACTAGCTGTTTGACATTCTCACACTGTTAACACGTGTCGAATGACCACAGCACTTCACAGCAGGCTGTGTAACCCTTAACTGGAACACTCTGGTAGAAAACAGCACTGGACTGGGACACAGGTAGCCGGCTTGTCCCGGTCTGCCCAGGACTGTCTTAGTGTTAGCACTACATTCCAGTCCTACATCCCAGGAACCCCTTAAGTCCCAGGCAAATGGGACCGTTGGACATCCTAACTTGGAGTCAGAGTCCCAGCTCTGCCATTAACTAGTTGTGTGACTTTGAGCACGTTGCTTTGTTTCTCAGAGTTTGTTTCTCAGCGGTAAAATAGAAGGAATGATGCCTGGCTTCCAGGTGTGTTGTGAAGATCCTGCCTCATCCTTGGCTTCAGGTATCAAGGCACCGCTCCCTACCAGGCAGTCACTGTAATGGTCTGCCACTCAGTGAGAAGGGACCCTTCACCCCAGTGCACACCTGGCCTACTTGTATGTATAAAGTGTTTGTGATTCAGATATTTGTAACTCAAGGACTTCTTTTCCTTGTTTACCAAAAGAAAATTCTGAGCCTTGGTAGCTTGAGGCATTAACCAACGTGAGGCCTGGCATCTGATTATGCGGATAAATGTAGCTTG